GTGTGTGTGTGTGTGTGTGTGTGTGTGTGAGTGTATATATATATATATATATATTTATACTCTGCGTTTGCACTGAGGCGCTAAGCTAGCGCACATACACACAGTACTGGTACAAAACCACACCATGACCCCTTACATGTGTATTCAGTATCTATGAATAGAGCGTGTTCTAAATTCCAAAGACACAAAATAACACGCCCTCGCCACCCTACCATTGGTCGCATCGGTTGTCATGGCAACTAGATCCCACTCCACGTCAGCATTCTTTGGCAGACATCCCACCACAGCGTACACCACACAGCACGATGACATGCCCAAACGTCTGAGGGCGTCCATGGCATACGGAACATGAGAAACAGCACTCACATAGCACAGCCCACCCACCACCAGCTCTGTGTAGTGGTTGTACAAGGTTAGTACGCGCAGGGTTATTAGGGTTTAAGGTTTAGGGTTTATAGGTTTTAGGGTTTTAGGCTGGTCTTGGAACATTCCCCAGTCAGCAAAAAAGTGTTTGTAGTGTGTGAGGTTTCGTAGCAAAGGTGATTCTCACAAGTGTTTGTGAATTGGCGCTCTCGCGCGGCAATCGACTGTGGCGTGTTCATAGTCAGTACACACTCACCAGATAATAAACAGGCAGGTAAACCCTAAAACCCTAAAACCCTAAATGTGCAACAGCACCGACACCTTCGGATACACAGAGTGTCGCCCACGAGTAACAGAAATAGCACAGGCTCACTATTTTAGGACGTTCGGCACACACACGACGTACACAGTGGCTACCTAAGACTGCTCTCCACAATGACCAGTGCATATGCCTTTGACTATAAATAACTAAACAATCAGCGGACACCATCGACACAATCAGATCTCCGAATAGTGCGACCGTTACAGCAAGCAACAGAAACTACCACACTACATTAAACTAACACACTTCTTATGAACATAAACGTACACACCTGTTAATAAACTAACACATTTCCTATGAACATAAACTTACACACTTCTTATGAACATAACGTGCACACACTACATTAAACTAACACACTTCTTATGAACATAAACTTACACACCTGTCAATGAACTAACACACTTCACTGTGAATATAAACTTACACACCTGTTAATAAACTAACACACTTCACTATGGACATAAACTTACACACCTTTTAATAAACTAACACACTTCTTATGAACATAAACGTGCACACCTGCGGAGGAACGTACGACATCGCACACAGACTTAATGTGCTGCAGAGACAGCATCGCCTGTTCGCGTGGGCTGGGTACTACCGCCAGTGTGTGCGGCACCATTCCAATCTGACCTGTGACGGAATAACCACATGCGTATTCCCACACATGAGATTCTAACGCATTGACTCCAACGAAATGTCAGTCGATCAGACAGATCTGCAACACAGAGAATCCGGGGTCATGGTATTCACGCAGTGTAAGTAGAAGGCGCAATTGTAGGCGAACAATACACACGCACACTCACAGCGCCTCGCACTCGCACATCCTTCTGTAGGGTGTTTGTGATATATATATAATATACATATATATATGTGTGTGTGTGTGTGAGTGTATTATATATATATATATATATATATAGTGTGTGTGTGTGTGTGTGTGTGTACGTATATA